TGCCCCGTAGCCAGCTCATATTGTCCAAAAAACAAGTTAATTTCCCGTAAGGACCTAAGAAGGCCTTTTGTGAAAATTATCAAGTCATCCGCAAAGCACAAGTGAGTTACCACCATAGAACCAATGCCTTCAACTTTCTTGTCAATGCCTCCGAGACAAAGATAAACAAGTAGGGAGATAAGGGATCCCCTTGCTTAATACCACGGGATGCCTGGAAGAAACCAGTAGGGCTTCCATTGATCAAGACTGAAAACCAACTATTCTGAAGGTTATTCATAATCAATCTAACAAACTAGGATGGAAACCCGAATTTACTCAGAATAGCCTCCAGGAAACTCCATTTTACTCTGTCAAATGCCTTCATCATGTCTACTTTTATAACAATATTACTCCGTTCAGCTTTATGATTAATGAATTGACACAAGTCTTGTGCCAACAAAACATTATCCATAATATCACACCCGGACAAGAAATCGGACTGCTCCTCAGAAATTAACCTAGGCAAGACAACCTTCAACCTTTCAGTCAACACTTTGGTAAATACCTTATTCAAGAAATTGCAAAGGCTGATCGGCCGAAAATCTGAAAAAAGTGGAGACCGTAGACTTTTTTGGAAGGAGAGTGATCAATGTGCTAGCAACAGATCTCGGAATTGGAACACCAAGTATGAATTCTTGACAAGCCGATCATAAGTCATTAGCTATTATACTCCAACAGCTCCTATAAAACAATTCACCAAAACCATCCGCACCATGTGCACTATCTTCTTTTAAATTAAAAAACGCCTCCTTCACTTCTTCAAGGGTAATCGGCCTGAGGAGCAAATCTTGATCTTCAGTTTCCAAAATAGTAGGCACATGCTGCAAAAAGAGATCCTGAATAGCCTCTTCATGGCTGGTTGCATCATCATTTAAAAGATCATGAAAGAAGTCAGCCACTTCACATTCTAGGTCTGCCATATTCGTCAACGTCTCACCACTTCTTGCTTGGATTTTATGTATGCTTTGTCTTAGGCGCCTCTCCTTCAAGGAAGCATGGAAATATGAAGTATTGGCATCTCCCTCTTTCAGCCATTTTAATTGAAATTTTTGCCTCATAATATCCTCATGCTCTTTCAGCTTTAGCAAGAGAAGAGCTTTGGCTTGATGAAAATTAAATCTATTTATCTCGGAAGCCACCTCATCATATAGAGTTTCCATTTGTTGCACATTAACTTCAGCCTCCTTTAGGTTAGCAAACACATCACCAAAGCAATTTTTATTCCATTCCTTGAGTCGCAATTGCAGTCTTCACAACTTAAGCAATCATTCCGAAGGCAGAAACCGGCTGCTCCCAACTCTCCTTCACCACATCCATAAACTCCGCTCTACGAAGCCACATTTTTTAAAAAAACGAAACAATTTTGGTTTCCTTTCATCTTGCACAGCAAACATATGAAGCATTGAGGATCCAAAGTTTTTCTACTTAGGTTTTCAAGGGAAGAAATCGGAAAAAAGTCTTGCAATTCCTCCGAAACCAACACCCAGTCTAATTTCTTGCGCACCCACCCCGTTTGTCTCGTTCCTCCACATGTAAACTCTACCCCAACAGTAGGTATATCCAGCAATGCACATGATTGAATGCATTCATTGAAGTCCTCCATCGCGGCATGGTTTTGAACCGAGACTCCCGAATATTCTTCAAGAGACCGTATCACATTAAATTCTCCACCCACCATCTAAGGAACAACAGGATTCCTTTGCTAAAACTCCACCAAATCCCTCCAAAAAGACATTCTCCCCAATCTAGTGGATTTAGCATAAACAACCGACAAAAATAAGGGACTAGGAATTGAAGAATGCTTAACCGCAAAATGCAAAACTTGTTCGTTATCATCTAATAAAGCAACATCAAATTCCTTCATACAAAACACCCAAATTTTACAATTACCTGAAGCAAAAGCCACATCAAAGTGCAACTCCCATTTTATTTCCTCCAATTTAGTAACTTGAAGCATCGGCTCCAAAACAACTAAAAATCTTCACATTATACATTCGGAGTATAGCCCTCAACCACCGTTGCGACTCTTGACTTTTAATACCCCGAATATTCCAAATTAGCTGACTAATCATTGGAAAAAAAAAGGCAATAATTCAGTTGAGGCAAGCTGACCGTCGTAAGACCAAACCAGCCTGTGCTTTTGCCCGTTCCCCTTTTGTTTTTCGGCCCCTTTTTCTAGATACAGAAGATTCCCCTCGCACATCTCCTTGTACCAATGCATTGTTCTTCTCACCCTCAGACCACCTGCCTTCATCCTCGTAATCTTCCTCCCCAGCATCACTGTGCAGGCCTATGACATTGTCATCCAAAATCCTAGTTGAACACGGCTGCGCTGGCATTGCGATGAGAGCTAGTGCAAGATTCAAAGCATCTTTATTTGCATTCAGCATTGTGTTCTCCTCCCCTCTCCTAGGAGATTCTTCAACATAGACCTGCTCTATAAAATCGTCATCATCCGAATCAATCTCATCATCTATTTCTGTAATTGACGCGAGAACGGAGAATATGTGAATATCCATTGGCGGCCGTGTGTTAATAGAAGATTCGACCTCCTTTGTGGCTGTTTTCCCGGGATCATTTGTGACCTTCTCTACAGGCGCATGACTCTGAACATCCACATGGACATAACTCTTTTATGCTGGCGTTAACCCTAAAGAATATGGTCCAGTTTTCCCCATCGAAGCCTGAGTCATTGTTGGTTGCGAGGGTTTCGTTTCCACATGTTGTGAGGGCTTAGTCGCAGGTTGCCAGAGCTTAGGGTTTGAATCCTTCATGACCACCTTCGAAACTCCCTTGCTTTTAACACCATCCAAACCTTTCTTGCTTGCTACTGCCTTCGGAATTCTAACCTTGTAATCCTTCTTTTTGTGACCGATCTTGCTACATTTAGAGTAATAATGTGGATTATACTCATATGTAAAGATTTGGTCATGTTTTTTTTCCCTTCTTCCCAACCTTAACGGATTTAGGAAAATCCTTGTTGAGGTCTACTTCCACACAAAATCTAGGCCACGGAAGGCCTTGTGATATTTAATGTTGGAGCATCTACCTTCAACGGCTTCCCGATTACGGTTGCCATAGAGAAGATTACCTCCGGGTTCATGAATTCAATGGGGATATCAAACAAAGAAACTCATATTGGCACAATTGGAGGGTCTTCCTCGTACTTGAATCCTAGCTTCCATTTGAGAATCCTCATTGAGAAACCGGCGATGTTCCGAAAAGTTCGTATCCAACATCGTTGGTATTCCTACTCCCTTTCAAATCGAATGAAGACATGCCTAGGGTTCATAAGTCCCAAGGTATAGCCCCCATGAAAACCTAACTTCTTGAATTCTTTATGGACCTCCTCCATCTTAGGCCTACCATAAGAGAACTTCCCGATCAAGCTTAATTGATGCGAACCACCAACTTATCGTATTCGTCATCTTCATATTCTAAAACTGCAGCTCCATTAACGAATTTCACTTCTTTTATTAGAGAGCCTTTTTCTTGAGAAGTATTCGTAGATTTCTGGAAAAAAAACTAGCAAATGTACGAGGTGGCCCAGTGGGGACCTCCCCGGATTGATCTCCTGTCATGGAGACCGGAATCAATGGCTCACCGGTGCAAGAGAGGTTGGGAACCTCCCCTTTTACTTATTCGTTTCAACATATTTTATATTTCATATATTTTATATTTTATATTTTATATTTTTATTCCAAAAATATTCTCAGGACGGTTAAATGCGCCGATAATAAATAAATAATTTTTTAATTTAAATATTTAGAGAATGATAAATTTTTTAGTTCGTAGTTGATGTATTTATATTAATTATTTATAAATAATTTATTTGTTAGTAAATACATAAGTTTTAGTTGTTATTAAAACTTTTCTTCTCTCTTCTCCCTACTATTCAAAAACCCTAGCTTTGACGGCTTTTTTTTCCGGCCACCATGGCCGGAATTCCACAAAACAATGATACCACGCCAGTCCCCACTGGACAATGTCGCACATTCGCAAGTCTTTTTGCAAAAGCAGCTACTGTAAACCTGAATATGGTGGATTTCCAATCCCTCAAAAACCCAAAGAAGGTCACTTTCTTCAATGGAACTCCGGAGCTTGAATATGAAGATGATGAGTTCAAAGATTTGATCGCTCCACACAAGATGAATCTGGTTGGCAAATTCTCGTATGGTCGACCAAAAATGGAGATCTTGCAGGAAGACTTTAAGAAAATTGGATTCAAAGGCGGCTATGACCTTGGTCTTGTGAATCCGAGACATGTGTTGATTCGGTTCGAATTGGAGGAGGACTATCAACGATGTTGGATCACATCTATATAGAATATTGGTGGATTTCAAATGCGCATTTTGAAATGGCAACCGGGGTTTAAGTTCAAGGAAGATCCTCTGATCGTTCCAATTTGGGTTTTGCTTCATGAGCTGCCTTTGGAATGGACACTGCCTACGGTGCTCTACTCCATTGCCTCCGCTGTTGGGAAGCCCTTGCAAGTGGATACACCAACCCTTAATCTGACAAGGCCTTCCGTAGCGCGATTCTGCATTGAGGTTGATCTAATGAAGGATTTGCCAAAATCAATTAGAATTGGGAAAAAAGGGAAGAAGTACGAGCAGCATTATACCTATGAATATGTTCCGTCTTATTGTCCAGTGTGCTACAAAATTGGACATAAAGAAATGGACTGTAGGAAAGGAAAAGGAGTGATAAAAGAAGATCTAAAAACAGCAGAACACGTCGCTGCGGAGAGAATTTCGACTGGGGCTAAGGGTGACTTGTGTTTGCAGCAGAAAAAGGTTACTTGGGGTTCCAAAAAAAAGGTAAAAAGGATGAATTATAGGTCACTATCATTCAAGAAAACCCTCTTATAGTTAAGGGTGTACAAACTGCTGTTGAAAAATCATAGCCTGCGGGAACTTTGAAGCCGGCGGAAACCCTAATTTTCAAGCCTGCGGAAACTCATGCCGGGGAATCAACTTCGGGCTTGTCGGCATTGGAGAAAAGAGCTATTCCTATTGATTATTGATAGTCTACCTCTGGATTCTAGTTGTCATAAGGTGGGAGATGTTGATGGTGTGCAAAAGAAAGTCATCGCGCAAGGGAATGATGGCTCTTTCAATCCTGAGAAACGAGCTGAAGAAGGTTCGAAGAAGGACGGCATCGCGCAAGGGGATGATGGATTCAGCAGCAGATGAAGCTCAGTTCAATATTGACGCTTCATTAATTCAATCCAATAAGTTCGCGCCTCTTGAAGCCTTGGATGATTATTGGGACGCGGCTAAAACTTTGGATAATGAGGAGGATGAAGTAGAAGAAGAGATTGTGCATACAGAAGCAAAGCATCATGCTCAGGTGGTTCATGATGATCAAACAAAGACTAATAACCAGGATGAAGGTTTTGCAAAGCTTGCTTACCCGGATGATTCTTTGGTAATGGATTTGAATGAAATGGACAATGATGATATTGCACAAGGGGAGTGTTGGTCTGAAGGCGATAAGGATGAGGCTGTTTTGGGTGGAAAAGCACAAGGGGTTTTTTCTACCAAGAAGAAAAGAGGCCGCAAATCGAAGGAGGAGTGAGCCAGGCTGCTGGATGGCCAAGAGCTTTGGCGATCACACCGGTTACAATAATCTCTACTATTTTCAATGATAAGTATTATTTTTTAGAATATCAGAGGAATAAGGAAGGAAGCCTCTCAGCGACTGGTGGGTTGCCGATGCCCCCAAAATAATTTACCAACTTAAACTGTAGATAGGATAAGTCAGGTCGATCCCACAGGGACGGGTTAAACTTCAAATAACCGGAACACGAAATTGGACAAACAAGAAAGGAAGTTGCAGAGTGTCACTCACTTGCCCGAGTGGATAAAGTCACTCAGGCAAGTGACTCTGCAGAACTGAAGACAAAGAAAGACAAATGGAACCTCACTCACGGGAGTGAGAATTCCGACTCAAGGGACTGACTCTGCAAACTAGATATTCATTCTCTTTTCCCTATGTAATCAAGCTGTAATGTTGCATTCTTTTAGTATGAATTCATGCTCATTTAGGCACTTATATATCTCTAAGTCACTTCCGATTTTTCCTAGAGATATCTTTATCAACTCAATTAAACTATTTTCCAATGATTAATCAAGTCATAAAGTCATGAAGTTTTCAAGCCTTATATGAATGCTTATGCTAACCAAGTATATTCCTATCTCAATTAGAACCTTGGATTGTTACCTCCAAGTCATAAGTTGAAGCTAAATGATTCTGAACCTTGTTTACCCGTCCAGGATTCACTTAGTTCTGTGTACAATCAATCAAATGGCCAATTTAATCAAGAGGTAGATGAAAGCTTTAACTTCAAAACACAGAATCATCCGAATGCATTCACAAACTTAAACTACATAGGTTCCAGAGAATGAAATCTAATTAACTACACATACAAACTACAGAAAATACAAGAAAAGAAGGAAAACATTGAGAAGAAGCAAATCTGGATGGCTGAGCAGCAGGTCACTCGCCTGAGTGACAAAGGTCACAGGGGAGTGAGGTCTGTTACTCCTCTTTTGCTGCTAGTGGACTTCTTCTTCTTGGAGTTTCTTAATCTCCTCTCCGGTCTCTTTTTCTCTCTCTGTGGTGTTTGGTGTGTTGTATGTCTTCTCAGATCCCCCTTCATGCTGGGAATGCAGCTCTTTTTATAGAGTTTTGAAGCCGGTTCTTCTTCCAAGATAGCCTCTCCATGCTTGTGAATTATGTATTCCTCCCAATGCTTTGTGTCTTGAATCCGAGAATTGACTGGTCTCTTACCCTTCTCCAGCACTGGTATCAGCTGCAACATTGATCATCATGGGCGGTTGGGAGTCTAACCAAGGGGACAAGCATGCCCTTGGATGGGACACACTCATTAAATTGTGTCTTGGAGATATCTTTGAACAGCTCAGCAAAATTTGATTTCAGCAGCCTAATTTTTGTTCCTAAAGCCCCTCTTTTCCAGCAGTTATGTACTTAGGTCCTTACCCATGCAAAAACACAAAACTAGTTAAGCAAAAGAAACTAATTCTAAGAAACACCCCTAATTCTCCATTAATTTCGAAGTAGATTGTAATGTTTTTTGTGTAACAAATTAACCATTATCAACTCCCCCAACCTGGAAGAGTTGCTTGTCCTCAAGCAAGACAATCTAGCCCTTGAGAACTACACACAAAAACAAGAAAACAAAAGCTAACCACTGACTCCCCTGAGTGAAAATGTCACTCAGGCAAGTGACACTGCAACAAACACACAAGAACTTCACAGCAACTACCAAACATAACTAGTTCATATGACAATCAGATACAACATCTCAGACGCAAGAAAAACAAGTATATCTTCATCCAAATTCGAATTTCACCTAGTCTGTACGAAATCACCTCTGTATGTGTGTGAGTCAGGCCAAGTATGCAAATTAACAAATTAGTATAAGGTAAATAATAGCTCATGGTGCATATTTAGAGATTTCTTAGCCTTATGACTCATTTTTTTCTTACCACAATCATGCTAATGTGGCCAATACAGCCTCAGAGATATAAGGACTCTCACAATTCATTACTGTTCAACTATTCTCCCTCATTCCCTTTTATTTACCTCCGAGCCTTTTGGCTTTTTCTATTTATGACTCATGATTCTTTTTCTTTCCAACTTCCGATCCCTCCTACCGAGAGCTTTCGATAGGAGACTTTGCTTTCAGGCCAAAGGATCACTCATTGTTGCCATTTCACTCTAAGAGATTTAGCTTGATGCTCTACCTTATACTCTCTCAAGTTTTTTTGAACTTTTTTATTTACTCATTTTTGAGCATTTCGCCTACCAATTCCCAAAGAAGGTATTAGAGAGGGTCATTAAGCTTGCCTTAGCAACTCTTTAGCATGTAAACAAACCACACTTCGCATTCTAGTGTCGTAAGAAAAGTCATTTAAATATTTTTAACCAATTTAGAATACCACAGAGCATGCTATAAAACTCAACTTCAATGTAACTAAGCATAAAAGGCATGTGTGCTTAAGTAGTGTAGAGATGATAACCAAGAGTTAGGTAAAATCAAAATTTGAATTAGATATAAGAAATTAAGTACATTGGCCTTCATAGATATCCAATTATCATAGAACTAGCATTCACAATATATATATATATATATATATATATATATATAAACATGCTCCCTACTACTCCCCCAAACTTATTCAAAGCATTGTCTCCAATGCTGACAAACAGATCACACAAAAACAAAAATAACAACAAAAACAGTTCATAGAAACAAAAACAATTCAAGCCAAAAACTGTGTGGTCACTCGCAGGAGTGGTATTCTCATTCTTGTGAGTGAGGTAGAGGACTGATGACTTCCTTGAGTTGGAGCAATTGAAATGGATGAGGAGGGCTTCATGATGCACATCATTCAACATATCTGTTCGATTTGTTGCAAGCTCTATGTTGTGTCAAAATATACTCCATACAAGGGATCGCAACATCCTTGTACAACAGCCTGGAATTGCAATATCAGAACACAAAAAGATTCAACAGCTATAAGGGTTCAGAATTTTTATTTTTCTCCAGTGTCACTCGTTGGAATGACTTTGGTCACTCGTGGGAGTGACTCTACAAGCCTTCTTTAGCTGCAAATTTAGTTTTCTCAAATACCAAGGATTAAAATTGAAACACAGACTAAAGATATCAAAAATTAAGCTCATGAAGTTCCTTGGTTCATACAGTTAAGCACAGATACCATAGAAAGCAACAAACCAGAAACACCATAGTTCCATAAATAGATTTAGCTTTTTAACAATAATGCTCAGAAAGAACTAGGTGACTCATATGCAATCGGACATGCTAAATTCTGAAAATTCTCCCTAAACTTGCTAGATATGGCATCAATGCTCATAAAGATATTAGAAGTTTACCCCAGACTAAAGCCTAGTAAGTACACATTAAGCACACCAAATTTCATAATTAACAAGCTACTAAGGGATATGACATACAAAAGATGTCTCAAGAACCTAAAAAAGAAACAAAACAAAAAGGTAAAACAAAATATATGGGTGGGTAAAAGAAATAAATTGACTTCAAACATCAAGTAGGTTCAGAGTCACTTTGCCGAGTGACATGAGTCACTTTCCTGAGTGTCTTAGAACTTTCAGCAATAAACACACAAAATTTCAAAGTCAACGGCTTCAGTTTTCCAAAATTCCCATATTTTGTTTTAAAAACAAAATAAACTAACAACAATTATACATGAACAGAGCATACATCAATTTCTCCAAACTTAAAATAAAGCACAGATCCTATGCAGACTAAAAGAAATCAAAAGCAAACCAGTCACAACACAACTTGCAGTTCAAAGTCACTCCTGGGAGTGACAGAGTCACTCAGGTGAATGCAAGCACACTTGGGAGAGTGACTAAACTCACTCTCCTGAGTGGCTGATATCAGGATCTGTTGCATTTTTGGATGACCAATTGAATTGGGATGGTAATGATACTTCTTCTGCACATGGAAGCACACACATTAAACAAGAAAAAAAATTAAAATCACACAAAAACACACTAAAAGAAAAAGAACATGGGTTGCCTCCCATGAAGCAAGCAAAATGTTGAAATGCAAGATGCATTCCATAATCAACTCTTGTGGCTTCAAGTCACTCAGAATAGCCATCTTGATACCACAAGAAGGTGCCATCAATTAGCCTATCATGCCTCCAGGAAGCATACTTTTGAATCATCCAACATAGAGGAAAATCTTTCTTGCTCCACTCTTCCAACACTTTGGGGATTTTCTCGGCTTGAAATTGATCAAAATCAACCATCTCTTCTTGCGCTCCCCAAGTATGTTTACCTTTGACTCCATCAACATGACCCTCATCAATGGAGATAGTTGACTCTTCTTCATTCATCAAGGTACCTATAAATCCCAAGTCAACCACCTCTTCATTTGGAGGATAAGTCTCATCAATTTTTAGCACAACCACAATTCTACCAGCTCACTCCCACAAGTGAGTTTCTCTGTTCCCTTGAGTGGGTATGGTGGTGGAGGAAGTATGGGTGGTGGCTGCAGTACCACCTCCCTTGGTTCATCTTCTACATCATTGTCCTCCATTGATGAGATTACTTTCTCATGAGCTTCTTGTCTCTTTCTTCTTGAGTTGTTGTCAATTATAGTTTGGAGATAAAGACCCAT